TCCTCTCTCCCTTCCCCTCACCCTCTCCCTCTTTCCTCTCTAAAATCAATAAAAACATCCTTGGGTGAGGATCAAAAAAAAAAAAATGAACTCATGCAAATCAATAGGAAAAAAGTATCCCACTGGGAAAAACGAAGCCAAAGATACCAACAGTTGTTTAATGTGTGAGGAGTTTCCTTTTAGGAAGATGCAAAAGTTCTGGAGATGGGCGATGGCAATGCTTGCACCACCATGTGGATATACTTACAGCCACTGAACTGTACACTTGACATGGTAAGTTTTATGTATGTTTTACTACAGTAAATTACAAACATTTGTTAAATATGCATTTGCCATTTTCTCATGAATGTATAGGCCTCACACCAGGCTAATTTCTGAATTAGCGACTTCAAGTAAATTTTAATGCCTGTATCTTCTAAGTATGGGGCCGATTGACATCTGAAAGAATCAGCTTCTGCTCTGAGGATCTTACACTTCACTTAGAGACAGGTACACTTTTCTGTCATCCTTGTGAATTCGCAGAGAGCAGCCTATGTGGAAGCTAGACTGGAAGGGGCTGTCAAGTGATTTTCTTGGTAGCAGAGATGTCAAGGTTGGCTCAGATGGGTTGGCTTTCCCTTGGCTTCCACCATTAGCCCACCTCACCTGGAGAGCATGTGAAAACAGCCTCGGCTTTCTGACTTGGTAGGTTTGGTCTCTGGCCTACAGATAGGCATTTCTCATCAGTTCCCGGGTGATCACACTTTGAGAATCACTTTCTAATGTAAGACGTATCAATACCATATCCTCTGTTCACGTCTAGCTCTCCTTCAGGCAGGGGGCTTCTGGGACAGGGGCCGTCTTGTCTGCCTTTGTATTCCCGTGTTCTAACCCACTGTTTGTTCCTCAAGAAATTTGTGTGGAAACAGTAATTAGAAAGAAAAACATGCAGTGAATGATTTAAAAATTCAGTACTAAATTTCATATTTTTTTAAATCCTATTTTTTTTTTCTCTTGAAAAGAGGAGGCTGTGGTGGACATGGTCCCAGAGTCCTTCATGGCAATAGTTGGCTGACAGTGAGTAGTGTTAGCCCTTAGACCACAGCTACCATAATCCTTTATGACAGTGGTTCTCAACCTGTGGGTCGCGACCCCTTTGGGGGTCAAACGACCCTTTCACAGGGGTCGCCTAAGACCATCGGAAAACATATATATAATTACATATTGTTTTTGTGATTAGTCACTATGTTTTAATTATGTTCAATTTGTACCAATGAAAATACATCCTGCATATCAGATATTTACATTACGATTCATAACAGTAGCAAAATTACAGTTATGAAGTAGCAACAAAAACAATTTTATGGTTGGGTCACAACATGAGGAACTGTATTAACTAATTGCAGGCGAGTAGTTAATCACTTTAACTATGGACAATCATGTTTAAGCCACATAATCTTTACTCCCTGGAATGGAGATAAGAAACGCCCTAACCTTTGGAATAGAAATTGACAGGATTAAAATCAACTGGTATAAATACAGATGTAACAAGACAATAAAACACAGAACCTGGGCAGTTTTGAGCAAGCCACAGGCTGTGCGGGTGTCAGGAGTGGGCCAGCAACACGGCTCAGCAGCCATGGGGGAGCCTGGATCAATCATGAAGACAAACCAGCCTTCTCTGGGAAAGCTCCAGAGAAACATGATGCCCAAGACTTTAGCGAAGAAGAGACAACTGGTTTCAGCCATGAGCAAGCGGAGACGTCGGGAACGGACTGAACATCCAATGAGGCTGACCAGCTGCATTTTTAAAAGTGCAGTCACCAAGGTGACTGCCCATCATGACAGTGTTGTCAGGCCAAGGCAGCAGGAGGAGACCTTGGAGAAGCCCCAGCAGATGAGCGCCTACAGGAGACTGCAGGGGCTCCCGGTCTGCAGCAGTGACGGGGAACTTCTAAATACTTTGGGTGTGACAAATGTGAGGAGAATAACTGCACCAGGAAGTGCGGGTGAATCCCTGGGCCGTGCTGGTCCTGGGTCTCTGCACACCAGCTCCCAGCCCAGTGCAGCACAATTGTAGAGATGATCCCAGGAGCAGGTCTCTGGGGCCCACAGCTTCTGTGCAGGCAACTGGTCACCCGTGGAGACATCCAGAGACAGAATCTCAGAGTGAGGAAAGCAAGAGAAAGACTGGCTGTGGCTTTGAGGGAAGACAGGCTGGCCAGGGAGGCAGAGAGCCAGGAGTGAAGAAGAATGTTTTGATTTCATGCAAATCTGACTTCAGTGAACTTGCTATTATATCTCATTCTAACATAAATTGTATCTTTGTTTTAATTTAAGTAATTAATTGTTGTTTAAACCTCATGTGAGGATATTTTTTATTTTGCCAAAATTCTAATTCACACATAAGACATACTATATAATAAAAAGCTAATATGCAAATTTGAAAAGAAACAAACAACAAAAAAAAAAACACAGAACCTGGCTGGAGATCCTGGCTAGAGCTTTATGACATCTGGCTGGACCCTGAGGTATTGGCATTGGCACCCCCAGAGGAAATCCAGGACTTCTTTCTGATCTCCTAAGGCAGGGGTCCTCAAACTACGGCCCACGGGCCACATGCGGCCGGCCGAAAACATTTATCCGGCCCGCCGGGTGTTTTTGCCGCCGCTGCCTGTCCTGCTCAGCAGCCAACTCGTCCCGGGCCCGCAGTACACATGTGTGGAACGTTTGAGGGACAGTGAACTGGCCCCCGGTCTAAAAAGTTTGAGGACCTCTGGGTTAAGTTGAGATAAGGGCAGAAAGACTGGAGGCTAGGAAACAGAAACCCTGCGTTAAGGTACTGACAGTAGGAATAGAAAGAATGACTTATGTGCAAGGCATTCTGAGGGAAAACTAACCAGAAGTTGGTAACAGACTGTTCAAAAAGAAGTTAAAAAAAGGAATTAAACATGTAGAGTTACAAGTGTTGGTTACTTAGATAATGATGAATTCATGTCTTTTGCTTAGCAGCTGACTAGTTTTTTTAAAACTATAGTCCGGCCCTCCAACGGTCTGAGGGACAGTGAACTGGCCCCCTGTTTAAAAAGTTTGAGGACCCCTGTCCTAAGGGGAAAAAATCCAGAAAAATCAGAAACCAAAAAGCCAGGAACAGTCTCCTGACTTCTGTGTCTTCTGCTGCCACATCCATTTCCTGAGGTATTGGTACAAAATGAGTGGTGGTTTGAATAGAGGGCTGAGCAATTCGGGAAAGGGAAATGCCAAGGGAAAATGGTTGATATCTTGGACTACTCCATCCCTGATGTATCAAATGTTTGGGTAGCCAGGTGAGAAAGTGACCAATGACGTCAGGGGGAAGAGCAGCAACATTGGTTAAAAGAGAATAAAGGAAAGGGGAAAACAGAGGTGTCCAGGCTGGGCCCTGAGACATTGGAGAGAGCGTCCGTTTCCTGAGTGTTTACTCTTGGCCAGACATTGGAACCCCACTCTGCGTGCACGCTCTGACTTAATGATGGACGCCTGGGGGATAAGTAGGATGATCCCCACTTGACAGGTGAGGAGACTAACGCTCGTAGGGTTAAGAAATTGGCCAAGCAGAGTAGGGATTTATAATTATCTGATGTCAGAGCCCGTGCGTTTAGCCATGCTATCACAATACCTCACTGAAAGGAGGTGGTGGGAGACGTTTCAAGCAGAGAAAAGCAGCCTGAGCAAAGGCACGGGGGCTTTTGATGACGGAATGCCACATCCCGGTGATGGAGTGTGGTTCTCCCGTAGGGCTGCCAAGGGCCGTGTTTAAGGATGACGCTAGAAAAAATCCACTGGGACTGAACCATTAGTGGCTTTTATGCCACGTTAAAGGTAGACCTTTTGAGAGGCTGCAAAAGGCAGAGACTAGAAACAAAAGAAAAAGATTATCCTCTCTTCAAAAGCTCTGTACATTCAGGCTGGGAAAATCTGTATGGACTTGATTTCTATAGCTGAATAAATTCACAATAGAACTAGAGAAGACCAGAACAATGTTAGAGAACGGATAAGGGCTCTTCAGTGTGCAGGCAAGGGCGGGCGGGATGGGGAGGCCATCCTTGAAGTTGGTCATTTCACAGGCAGCAAGGTGAGGAGGAATACGATCAGAAGCCTCTACGGCAGAGGTTCTCAACCTTCTGGCCCTTTAAGTACAGTTTCTCATGTTGTGACTCAACCATAAAAGTATTTTCGTTGCTACTTCATAACCGTAATGTTGCTACTGTTATGAATCGTAATGTAAATATCTGATATGCAGGATGGTCTTAGGCGACCCCTATGAAAGGGTCGTTCGACCGCCAATGGGGTCGCGACCCGCAGGTTGAGAACCGCTGCTCTACGGCAAGCAGAGAACATTCTTTATTTTGAGTAAGACTGGGTGGTCCAAACACCTCCAGCGGCCGGCCATACCCACAGGCCTTGCTCCGAAAAGCCTTGCTTTGCCTCCTGTGACGCTGTCATCCGCCCTAGCTGGTTTGGCTCAGTGGATAGAGCATTGGCCCACAGACTGAAGGGTCCTGGGTTTGATTCTGGTCAAGGGCACATACCTGGGTTGCAGGCTCGATCCCCGGCCCTGGTCAGGGAGTATGCTGGAGGCAACCAATTGATGGGTCCCTCTCACATCGATGTTTCTCTCTCTGTGTCTCTCCACCTCTCTTCCACTCTCTAAAACGCAATGGAAAAATATTTACGGGTGAGGATTAACAACAGCAAAAAAAAATAAAGAAACTTTCCTTTGGTGACCTAAGGAAGCCACGGTAGCAAATAGTTAAGAGCATGCATTCCAGGGGTCACCTCTTTGAGTTCCAATATAGTTAACAGCTCTGTGACCTTGGATGACTGCCTTAGCCTCTCTCAGTCTCATTTTGCACAAATGGAAAAACGAGAGAGCCTGCCTATTATGCAGTTATATGAGACCATTTATATCAAGTGCTTAGGGTAGTCCTTGTCATATGCTAAGTGCTTGGTGGCTGTTACTATTTTATTCTATTCTGAAGGGGAAAAGTTATATTCAGGTTCTCCACCAAGTCTGCCAGCGCAGCTGTTGGGACAGATTCCTGTGTTTCCTTGCTTTTTCCTAAAGCCTCCCACCCAATCCCTAGGTCCCTTCCTTTGAAATCCGAAAGAGGCTAACATAGTAAGCTTAGAAACGAAAAGATAAAGCTTCACTTCAAAAACAGAGAATAAGAGGGAACAAGTGGATAATACAAAGCTACTTCTCAAACGTTCGATTAAATCATGGAGAATAAAGTCACGTTTGATTCATGAAAGGAAGTCAGAACATGTTGGGTTTTGTCATTTATCCTTTGAAGTTAACATCAAGGACTATCACCGCAGCCTTCCACATACCCTTGAGTTTCTCTGCCAATGACAATATTGAGCTTAATGAGCCATGGTTCTGATGAGATACGACAATTTTTGTTCTTGTGTACGTAAGTACTTAATCATCGCATCTCACTAGAGTAAAACCTCGTGAAGCTTGAAAGAGATTTAGGACTGATAAATTACAATTATTATAACGCATTCTGGCTGCATTGTGCTTTAGGATTTGCAGACAGTTGCAAGTACATTATCTCGTTTGATTCTCACCATATCTCCATGAGGTAGGCGGGCAGTAGGTTAGGCGGGTGTAAGGTAGGCAGCCTCCATCTGGGAGGTTAAGGGAGATAAAAGACTGGCTGGAGTTCACATAGCTGTTAACTAGCGAAAGTGAATTCCACCTCAGATCTTGTGACTCCCCGTCCCATGCTACTTTTACTAAAGGAGTGGAAAATTCTGCATCTTAACATCCTCAGAGGTAGAACAGGCTTAACTCCAGTTTCAAAAAGGGGGTCAAATGAGAAATAAAAACATGTTGCACAAGAGGTGGCGTTCCCCATGCCCATGGCATACTTTACCAATCGGACCCAGAATTCTCTACTGCTTGTCCTGGGGCTGGCTTCAAAATCATCCCAACACAGTGCTCTGGGGAGCTACTGGAAGATCAGAACAGACACACAATTTTAAACTTATTTTCATAAAAAGAAGGTTCATGGGCATCTTCAAGGAAGCTGGGTGCTTGGGAGTATTCATGTCAGCCTCTTTCTCTTGGGCACATTGTCCTGCCTCCCTTGCAGTTAGATGAGGCCATGGGATTGGGTTCTGGAATGGACCATGCATGGAAGTGGGCAATTTGTTTCTTTTCCCATCTACTGAGTGAAGGGAGAAGGCTCTGAAGATGTAGGGTTCAGCTGGATGAATGGAAGTGGGTCTTTGGCTGAATGATTATCCCCAACCCCCAAGCAACATACCCTCTGCTTTGAACTATAACTGGAGAAATAAGGCTATACTGAGGCCACCATGACTTGGGAGCCTTTGTTCAGCAATAAAGGTTGACTTCTTGTGATTATGCCCATCCTTGAATCATCTTTTGGTATCATTCTTAGAGGCAATGCTGGACTAGGCGGTCTCACACATTTCCTACTTTCAAATTTTAAAGACCTGACGAATGTACATTGTATCAGATTTGTTTTTCTCTTTTTGCTCTCACGATCCCCTTCCAACTTAGGAGAAATCCCTAGTTGGGTGACTTTGTCGGGACCACGGGAGTCTAAGGACCAGCTATTCCCTCATTCCATCCCCTGCAAATCAGAGTCTGGGCACTTGACTTAGATCCTTCCAACTGAATGTTGATATCCGGGATGTTAAATCTTAAGCAAGAAGCAAGGACAGTTGAGAATGCAATCTCCGAAGCCACACACCGAATCTAGTCTGGCTGGCGTCCTGCCGCTTACATTGCCTTGGTTCTTACCCATTTCCCAAGCCTGATTCCCCAGGTCAAGTAGATTCTGTGAGGTGCTCAGTACCTATCCAGTAAACCCCGTCTGCCTCGGTGAGCCAGCGTCTGCTTCTCCTGCCTGTACTCTGTGCTCATGTGTAAGTGCATGTATGCATATGCACACAACACAGGACTATTCCAGCACCAGCAGCAAATATTCTTTGCCGGGGCAATCTCTCCAAAACAGTCATTTGTTGGTAACCTTCTCCTGGTTCAGAAGATTCAGTGATTCTTTATCTTAGGACAAAACCCACACATGTTAGCACAACACCCCAGAACCTGTTTGCCTTTCTTGTTTCACTCTTCTACCGTACCCCGGCCCCTGGGCTCGCCCCATCTCCACACCATTGTATTCACTGTGCACGTGGCCTGTTGTAATTTTCTCATGCTTGGCTCCATGGCAAGTTCCTGCTCTCTTTCATGTTCTAGCTCAAGAATGACCTCCAGGAAATACAGTTTGATGATTTTTCCTCTAGCACTGTGTGTAGCTGTTTCATAGCCTTTGTTACACTTTATTGTAATTATTCACAATTTCATCCTTCCTAGTAATAAGCTTTTTTAATTTTAAAAATATTTTAAAGATTTCAAAGAGGGAGAGGGACAGATAGAAACACTACCTCCTGCATGCCCCCTGCTGGGGATAGAGCCCAGCATGTGCCCGGACTGGGAATTGAACCGTGACCTCCTGCTTAATAGGTCGATGCTCAGCCACTGAGCCACACCAGCTGGGCAGTAATGAACTCCTTGAGGACAGTGTCTGTCTAGTCATCTATCACTACACCTAGGATGCTTCTTGGCACATAGAAAATGCTAATAGGTGTGTGTTGACTGACTGACTGACTGAATATGATCGGGAGTCTGTAAGGGTCCGAGGATCAGCGGAAGGATCTCTAGAACAAATACAAAAAAGACTGTGCAGTGTTCTAGCCCTGAGCTCCCCAAAGTTGGTTTAGAAGAAAAACAGACACTAGTTATGTTGAAATAATGTTTAATGTTTAAAATTTAACAGTGCACACAATACATGTCTTAGCAGAAGAATGAAAATGTATGTATGGTGTTTAATAAAATTGACATTACAAAACAAGACCATGGTAAGAAAACCTTAAAAGCAGAAGTAAACATTTAGGTAAAAAACCAAATAAACAACATGCTAAGAGATATGATACAAAAATCCTAATAAATGTAGTTGCCTAAATCCAGACTTGAGACATTGAGATTTACTTTGCCACTTAAAAAAAAAAAAAAAGCAGAATGCCCTTCATTTAAAATACATTTTTAAAAAATGTTTGCACATTATTTTCCTGCTGGCAATCGCAGTATAATCAAGTATATAAGAACACCAGCTGGATTCCAACCCGATAATTAAAAAGTGCACCTGGTCTTTCTGATAAGGATACAGTTAACCTCAGCAATAACAACAAAAATCACACAATACATTGCGTTGCAATATTAGACCTCCGCTGCTGCCCATGCCCCAAAGTGAACACAGTTGAAACGACTTCAATTTAAGAGAAAATGAAAACGAAATCTTCAGCACCGTGTGGTTTCTAAGCATAGAGAAGCGCGGGCAGGATGGAAGTACAGGAAGAGGGCATGGTAAGACCAGCCACGTGCTCTTCGGCAGGTTTCCACTTACAAACTCCTGACGAAATGGACAGACTGGCTGATTTCTGTATTGGTCATTGTGAGAGAGAAAACTGACTTTCAAAATTTCCTCAGATTTTGGCAGATCCCTCCAAAATGTGAAGATTGGAGATAATTTATTCACACCATCATTTCCTAGAACTTTGTCAAATAAAGGAGCAGCACCATCCTGGTGGAGGTCGTGGTGAGGCAAAAGGGGTGAGGAAGAAAAAACTTTCAACGTCATACCCACTCTTCCCCAGCAAGCTACTGAGTCCTTAGGGGGAAAAAAAAATCAAAAACGTATTTTAGCAAATAAAGCACTTTTCTTGACTGAGTCCGCCCAAACTGAAATGTTTCTCTGAACACTTCAAAGAAGTAGGCAATTCCAGGACAAGCACTTTCTCTAATGACAACCAGTGCCGACTTGGCCAAATTGTTTCATGCTCAAGAATGTCAAATGGTAACGATGCTGAGAAGAGCACCGAGGTCATAGCAGGGTAGGTATCTGATCAGCACACAAGGCATCTGCTAGGGAGCGATGTGGTTAAAAAATCCAAAGTTCAACTACTTCTCCTTCATGAGAATGGGAATCTCCTGGCATCGCTTTTTATTGTTAAACTTCCCTTCTTCTTACAGGTAAACCAAATCAAACCATTCCTGCCTTATGTAAAAATATTAAAATCGTATACAAACCTTACCAATGGCCTGAGAAATGCAAAGACATTCACTAAGAGATTTGTGCAAAAATCGTTTCTCTCAGAGAGCAGGATAAATTGCAAGAACAAACCAACCTCCAGAATAAAATCTTAGAACGGATTGGCTTCTAATTTCACTAAGTGAACAATGGAGGTTTTATCCAAAATTTGCATATAGCTTTAAAATATATTTAATAAATTTAAATTCTACACAAATACTGACAGTTGGTATTATAAAATGTGAACTGGCACATTTGAGGAATTTTAGCACTTACTGTGTAAGTTTCTATTACACATTAATAAAATTTCCTTGTACATGTCTTTTTTGATTTATTTTTTTTTCATTGTACATTTCATATACAATTATGCTTACATCATGTATTCAGAACATCAAGCCCCTTGGTTATTATCACAACTTTCAACCCTTTAAGTTGTACCAATATTAAAAATCATTAGGTTTGATAGCGACAAGTGAGGCAATACAACTCCTTAAGGGTTGAATGAATATGCCAGATATAAATGTTTAAGAAAACACAAGTATTATGTGGGTAATATAATTAATTACAAATTGCTTTCTGATCATGAGAAACATTTCTTTTGAACTTGAAAATGATGCACGAGTAGAGTGTATATGATGTGCGTGTCTCCTGCAATCCTAAGGTTACTGTTATACAGGTTTGGGCTAACACTGCACCACCAACAGGACTGAGAATGTGCCGCATCTGTAATGCCTCTGATGGAAACAGACTCCATACTGAAGTATGGATTTCCAATCTTCTGTCCAACGTCAGTTCCTCTTTAGTTAGCAGAAGATGAAGCATCTGTCTTCCCTGTGGCTTCCTCACCAAAGAGCAGCTTTCGAAGTATATTTGCATAAAATGGTCCATACACTTGTTTGTTGAGATTCACGATGTTAGCATATTGACAGCCTAGCACTAGGGCTTGGGAGACCAAGTAGGCTCTTCAAGTATAGCTGGATTCGTTTATCTGGGAGAAAAGAAGATTATCTTTATCTGTCCCAATACTAAAGCACGTAATTTTTAAAACATGAGAATAGTAATTATGGTAGGTGGGTTATAACATTATTCCCAATTCCTTACCCTGCCTATATCCATGCCGTTTACAAGGTAGCTTTGCAGCTCTTCCCATTACAGGTTGGAGTCTATTTCCCTCGGTCTTGAATTGTGGCTGGCCTTATGACTTAAGTGCTGGTATGTTAGTTCCATGCAGAGGCCTGAAGAGGCCAGGTTCGCATCTGCCCTCTCTGCCTACCATGTGAACAAGCCTGGGCCCGACGAAAGACTGCAGCTCTTCTATCTGAGGCTATCGTAGATCAACCTGGAGCCAACTAACTCTCAAACACTTGAGAGAGCCCAGCCAACATCAGCAGGGCTACCTTTCCAATCCACAGCTGACCATATATGCATGTGTGGGTCCAGCAAGACCAAAAGAACTACCCTGTTGACCCAAAGACTGGTGAGTAGTACTAAATATTTACTTTTTTGTTTAAGCTATGGAGTCTGAGGGTGACTTGTTGTGCGGCAATAGCTAACTGATTAAAATGCAGAGCACTTCGGGGTAAGGCAGGGAATCTTTTACAAAAACTCAATATTTAATGCTTATCATTTTAGTGATGTACACTAAAACAGACTTTGTAAACTGGCACTGCCAGTTTGGTCCACATAGTGCTTTTAAAAAATAAACCACTTAAGGTCAGGGAAATTCAAATAGAAATCTAAATTTCTGGTTCCTCTTGAAAAAATCTAGAGATCTGGTTAACTTAGGGGCCCAAATTACCACATGGCAAGGGTGACCACACATCCAGGTTTTCCCAGGACAGTTGAAGTTTACACCTGTTGTCTTGGCATAATTAAAAAGAGCACTCTCAAAAGTGTCCTGGTTTTGACAAAAAAAATCACATGTTCACCCAACATGTGGCCAACAATCTGAAGGCACTGAAGAAGTGCCACCCCAACTGGCACTCCAATTTGCCATCTTCTTAGCCCTTTGCACCCCACTGCCTCAACGATCCACATTTGAGACTATTTCACAAAAGCAAGCAAATGCATAAATAAATCGGGCTGTATAAGTATTGGGAAAATCGCACTGGACAAACTGGACCTGCTATGGCTCATGCTGCTCCCAGAGCTTTCTCTGGCCTTGGAAACAGAAATCTCACAAAGAAGGTGAACTAAGGAGAATAAACTCCATCAAATGCAGACAACTATGGCCTTAATGAAATTCGTATCTCCGAATGCTTCTCCCAAAAGTCACACATTCTAGCCAGATCTGTCCTAGAACTCAAAGTTCCCAATATCCCATGTCCATGTCTTAGCCAGAATTGCTTCCTCTAACTAGAATGTTCTTCCATCTCACCTCTACCCCAAGTCAAAAGCAACCTTCAATGCCAAGCCTAAAGTTATCTCATTCTATGGCTTTCCCTAACACCTGTTAGACTATCACACCATATTATTCTTTTCTGTTATATGTGTCTGTCTCCCTGCTTAGGTGAGCTCTCTGAGGGCGAGGGCTACTCTTTTTTATCTTTATATCCCTGATCTGGCATGTGGCAGGCAGGTCACAAATGCTGACTGAACTGAAGTAAGAATGGAATGAAAAAGGTCTATAAAGATCAATGCCAAACTGAAGACAAGGGGAGTCAGGGAGGAATGGGGGCTGGAAAAGGCAGTCACAGGTAACTTGGGCCTTCCCCATAATTTGTCAACAAGAAGAAATTACTCATGTATGCACAACCTGTACATTTGAAAATTATTTTTTTTAAATGCAGATGGCTACAAGCATGCAAATAATCTACACAGTAGGTAAGCTACAAATAATATGTACCTGGTTTGGGTATGCGTTTTTTAAACATTAGCTTGAAAGAAAGCTTTTCTAATTATCTTTTTAAAAGTCTAAGAACACAGTAGGAGTTGCAATTGCCTTGTAAATAAACAGCACACCAACTAGGAACAGAAGCAGCAGGCTACGGTGGGTTCTGTGCACAGGGGAGGAGAACCTTGGCTAATGCTGGTCAAGCCCTTTTATGTCCTCTAAGTGCTTCGTTTCTCCTAACTCCTCTGTGGGCAGGACGTTAAGAATCAATCGTGTGCCAAAGATCCCGTTCGACTGGTTGCCTGACTCTCCAGAGCCCAGGTCTATTGTCATCACAGATATGGTCCAAACAGTTTCCCATAAAATTGCTTAAAGGATAAAACTCTTTCAAAACTGTTATTTATGCTGAGAAGTGGTTCTGTCTCCTCTGTGGACAAGTCAGTTTTTAGGTCAAGACTAAAATGACAGAAGCATTTGTCCAGTTAGGAGCAGCCAAACCGAGGCCCTGCCAAAGGCGTGCTCTTGGCTTCTAGAGTCACAAGAGAATCGCTCAAGTGAGTCATTCAAATTGCTAGGCAACAATACTTTGAATAAGGTTTAAAAAAAATGCTTAAATTTTTAAAAGAACAGGAAAGTTGGACTGGGGAGAGAGGGGTGGAAAAAAGTTGCTTTACCAGCTTCCCCCTCTCATGGCATTACAAGTACCTCCCTTATCTAAAGCAAGGGCGCAGAGGACACTTGGATGCCCGGCCACCCTGCCAACAAGCAGCAGGGCTTCGGCTCCAACCAGAGCAGTAAAGAACATTAGCTCCAGAGTCAGACAGGCTCAGTAAGACTCCCTACCCTGCAACCGGCTAGTTATGTGACCTTGGGGGAGAGTCGCTTAACCACTAAGTCTCCACTGCCTTCGCCCCTCCACAAATGTTTACTAAGTGTCATCTATGCGCCCAGCATGGTACAAGTATACAGCAGTGCACAAACATGCACCCCGTCCTGAGGCCTGCACACCTGTGGGGGACACGCGACATGTGGCAGAGACTGCAGTGTCTGCCCCTCTTCCTCTGAGGAACACCAACTCCCAGGGATCAACTCTTCAGCTAGAGATAACGGGCTGTGCAGACAGACTTGTCACCAGTGAAGGTTATGCAGCAGAGGGCTCAGCCACAGGACGCTGTGGTCATGCTGAGCCTGTTACTGTGATCAACTGCCCCCTCCAGCAGCCTGCAGTGCTGCACACCAGATTGCTCTTTTCTGGGGGAGGGCTGAGGCCTCGAGCTTTTAGTGGCCTGTGTGGCCTAGATCCCGAGCATTCCGTGTCTCCTGGGATAAGGATGAGAGAAACTATTTGAGAGCCTCAAATAAATAATAAGTATTTGTATTCTTAGGGAAGTCAATGTTGTATTTCAAAAACTTGCAGATTAGTCCCAGAATGTTACTGTGTTCTATTCTACACTCCCTTCTTCCTTCTAGTCTTTATTTCTCACTCTCGATAGGAGACATTTGCTTTGTGCCCCACATCACCTGCTCCCTCTGCTTTTGACCACAGCACCCGATTTTGTTTGGGGGAAACCATCTGTCCCCTATTCTCAGACCAGGTGTTACAGCTAAAGTGACTCACCCTGGCTCCATGGTGAACACATGTCTTGGACCCTAAGTTCCTTCCCCTCTGGCTACCAAGACTGATTCAAGAATGGGACATGACCCACAGTCCGGCCACCTGGAGCCAATGAGCTACCAGGGAAGCCAACTCCTTGTTTTAAACAGGGGAAGAGCCCTGGCTGGTGTTGCTCAGTGGTTAGAGCGTCAGCCCATGCACCAAAGGGTGGCGGGTTCAATTCCCAGTCGAGGCAACAATACTTTGAATGAGGTTTAAAAAAATGCTTAAATTTTTAAAAGAACAGGAAAGTTGAACTGGGAAGAGAGGGGTGGAAAAAAGAGGGTTGCAGGTTCCATACCAGGCCCCAGTTGGGGTGTGTGTGGAAGGCAACCAATTGATGTGTATCTCTCCCATCGATGTTTCTCTCTCTCCATTTCTTCCCTCCCTCCCCAACCTCCATCTTCCACTTTCTCTAAAAAGCAATGGCAAAAATATCCTCGGGTGAGGATTAACAGAAATAAATAAATAAAATTAAAAAAACACAGCAAGATGTAGGCTTGAGCTGAAGCTGTCTCACTGTGTGGGAAGAGATGACCTGTGAGGCAGCCAGCCCAGAGGAAGGCAGTGCTGAGGGCTAGAAGTGGGGAAACTGGTGCTGGGGACACAGTTTGAGCTCTGGTTAAGCTGTACCTGCAGCCAGCCCTACCTCTCATCTTTTCAGTTACATTAGAAAATACATTCTCTTTTTGCTTAAGCTAGTTTAGATTCTCAGTCACGAGCAACAGAAATGTCCCAATGATACATCCCCCATTTTCCCAACTTACCAACACAGCTTGACACCCAGATATTCACGTTCTTAGCAAGCAAGTACAGTGGGGCCTTGACTTATGAGTTTAATTCGTTCCGTGACGGAGCTCGTAACTCAAATTACTCATATGTCAAATCATAAAGTGAACGAGTGAGACACGTGATGCTGGGCTGATGTTGTGGTGTTCACTGTGACGTTCGCTGCGCCAACTAGCAGTGGGGTATCTGAAGCTGGCTCGTAACCCGAATTTTAGCTCACAACTCAAAGCAAAAAATCGGCCAAGAGATGGCTCGCATCTGGAAAAACTCATTCGTTGGGACACTCGTAAGTCAAGGCCCCACTATACAACAAAAGCCCACCCATTATGCCCCCCAGTTCCATAGCATTCTCATTCTTTGTCTCCTTATGTCTGACCAGGAAAGGGGTTTTGGTTGGCCGAGGCTAGCTCACACACAACTGATGTCTACTTTCTGTGAACATACTGTCAGTTGGTTTGGACTGTCACGTGGATCTAGAATCTAGATTTTAACATTACTTGGCAGCATTTTGTTATTTTCCTCATAAAAATCTACTGTTTGGATAGTAAGATAGAAGGCCCTGAAACATCTCTCACTCCACTACATTTACACACAGAAGAAGCAGGAAGTCCCAAACCTTTTAAAATATTAATACAAGCTTCATATTTTCAATATTTATTCTCCAAAAGGAGCAGGAAGATTGTTTAAAAACTAAATGTTGACTGACAGTTAACATTAGTCAAAACCAGCAAGTTAAAGCAAAGTGGAATTGAAGAAGAAAATGATAAAAACATGAGGACCCACCAATCAAAGACCGGATAGGATTGTCCTCCTTTTCAATGCTTGAAAATTGACCTACAAGGTTAGCTTGAACCTCCGCATTTAAAGTGGGTAAGCCTCTCTCCACCAGGGTCTTGTTAACCTCAGCACATGTCTGAACACCAACAGAATTCAGGACTTCCTTCAAGTTAAAGGTCCTACAAAACAGAAAACAAAATCCCATCAGAGACAGTTTTTGTCCCCCAGTTTATTGTTGTTGTTTTTTAAAATATACCAATATAGCCCTAACCGGTTTGGCTCAGTGCATAGAGCGTTGGCCTGTGGACTGAAGTGTACCAGGTTCGATTCTGGTCAAGGGCATGTACCTTGGTTGTGGGCACATCCCCAGTAGGGAGTGTGCAGGAGGCAACTGATCCATGTTTCTCTCTCATCATTGTGTCTAACTCTCTATCCCTCTCCCTTCCTCCCTAAAAAAAAATCAATAAAATATATTTAAAAAAATAAAATAAAATAAAAATATACCAAAATGTCCCGCCGGTGTCACTCAGTGGTTGAGCGTCGACCTATGAACCAGAAGGCCACGGTTAGATTCCCCATCAGGGCACATGCCCGGGTTACAGGCAAGATCCCTCGTGTGGGAAATGCAGGAGGCAACTGATCAGTAATTCTCTCTCATTATTGCTGTTTCTATCTCTCCCTCTTCCTTCCTCGCTGAAGTCAATAAAAATAAAATATACCAACTTATTTCAAACATTTACCCATTTTTTCTTATATAAAACAACAGTTACATCTATTAGAATGAACTAAAAAAATAGTAACTCTTCCCAATCACCAACCCTTTGTAGTTAAGGTTTTTACATGCTTAAAACCACAATTCTATGCATAGTGTTTACATAGGAAAGCACAGGCAGAAAAATGAGGTCCCTGAAAATAAGTCTGCAATCCCATTTTCATGCAGAGCTATTAGAAAAGGAAAGAAAATACCAATTCTTAAAATAAACCTTTGGTCTGAGTGGATGTCATTCATAGATTTTTTTTTTTTTTTAGCTTGGAAAATGAGGTAAAATCAATTCCTTTATCTATGCCTGAGCTGTAAACCTATAACACCAATCAAAACAAGAAATGAAGAGATTTAGTAGTCAATTCCATAAAAGGCAAATTACCTAAAACTCTTGACTTATCATGACCCAAGATAAGAAGCTCCTTCTCATTGCTACTTTCAAGCAACTGATCAATAATGCAAATATATAGAGTTCAGAAAATTGTACAAAGTAATTAGCAGTTGGTTATTTAATAGGTAAGGAAAAAGGTAATTAGAAAGTGCATTTGTTGGGTCTATGAATAATGACTGAAAACTGCATCTCACTATCCAGAAAGGGTCTTTAAAATAATCCTGTTCAAAATAGGAATTAAAGGATGAGAGGCCCAATGATAGGAGGCAATGCAATGTCGTTATAGCATAAGATGTGGTGTCACACAGACCTGGTTCAAATCCTGACTCTAATGCTAAACTTGCTATGAGATTATATTAGCTCTTGGCAGATTGTCAGGCACATAGTAAATGCTCAATAATAATAATAATAAAAGACTGTTTATCATTATTGCCATCATTAATAACAATAAGAGCCTGGCCAGTGTGGCTGAGTGTTGACCCATGAACCAGGAGGTCACAGTTCAAATGCCAGTCAGGGCGCATGTCCAGGGTGCAGGCTTGATCCCCAGTAGGTGGTGTGCAGGAGGCAGCCTATCGATGATTCATCATTGCTGTTTCTATCTCTTTTTCCTTCTCCCTTCCACACCCCAAAGTTAAATTATTTATGGCAAAATTTTTACCTTCTGACTTTAACCTAACTCCCTCCAGCTTTTAATCATGAGTTCTTAGGCTAAAGGAAAAAATAATTTCAGCATAAGCCATGACTTCCTATTCACTATGAAGAAGGCAAAATTCTTGCTAGTTTTCAAAATGCATCATCTAACTAAATATAAATGATGTCTGGGTCTACTGACTATTGAAATCATTTGTTTTTTTTTAGTATTGTGGATGTAAATACCCATTCATAACGAGAATAATTGAGAACTGACTTCAATCATTTCCTAATAGAGGTGGTGGGGGGGGATTAAACAAAATAATAAAACAAACAGATATCAGAACTATAAAGAGAATGATTTAACAACTAATTAGTTATTAAGAGTTAACTTTTATCAAGCACTTGCTATATGCCAGACACCTGTAGAAATATTTCACATGAATTATCTTGAGTTCTCACAATTCTAAGACAGGCACAAATATTATCCCCTTTTTGAAAAAAGGGAAATAAGGCTCAGGGTGATTCAGGAACTTGTTCAAGGGTACGTACATAAGTCAATCACAGAACCAGGCTTTAAAAATCTAGATTCAGATAAAAAAAAAAACCACCTGTCCTCTTAGTAGTTTTATATTAACACATAAGCAGCATTGGGGGTTCAGTAAAGGTTTAAAATTTTTCTGGACAATAATGAATACCCAGTGTGGGGACAGGCTGAGGTAAGAACAACGGCAAAAACAGAGGTTTCTTTTCATTATAGTTCTTGGTTCCTGTGTATGAAATAAATGAGCCTGTCAGGGTAGCATAAAAACCAGTGGAAAGGAAGTATTGGGGGGAACACTTTGTAAGGTATATGATTTTCTAACCACTACGCTATACACCTGAAAGTAATACAAAATGATATTGAATGTAAACTGTAATTGAAAAATAAAAAACATAGACTCAAAAAAACCCACCCACAATGTATTTTTAACCTTAATAATAATTTTAATATTTAAGATTTGGTTTGTTCAGAATTTATTCTCATGGAGAATGGCTATGCCAATAACTCTCTAGTATCTTTTATAATATTTTTTATAATATTAAAACATATTCAAAACAATTTAAAAAAGAAATCAGTAGAAAGGGCAGGGCCTTGAGACAGTTGGACCAGGGCTCAGGCCTTGCTTTGCCCTTTTCTTGCTGTGCAGCCCAACGCAAAACCTTGGGCTTCTGTTCAAAATGAGAACGTTGGATTTTTTAACTACTCAGGCTCCTTTTGGCTCTTAATATTCTAGGATTTTACCAGGTAATGCATGTGCTCTCTGAGTAATGCGCAGGAATATGGGAACAGGTGCATCTCGCTTCCTTCAATGAGAGGGAGAGTCCGTGTCCCTGAAAACACCTCAAAGGGAAGCCACCAGCAGGAGGCGCTTAACCCATACAGGACCCGTGGAAAGGTGGCCACCGACTAAGATCAGCAGTTTTCTGACTTGGACCAGATTCCCAGCAGGATGACCTAACTGCAAAATCTCAATGGGATTCTAGTATTCAGTGAAGGTATGATACTGGGAAATGAATTTCACAAAACCTTCAGTGAACCTGTGTAACATCTCCAAAGGACAGAGAGGTCACTACTTCTCAAGGCTTCGTAGCTCACGGGATCAGTAAAGTTGGTAAACATTTCATTATAGAAAAATGATTGGTGTCAGAACGACTTAATCTGGAAAGCCTCTTTGACAGGGCATCCTGAAGACTGAGCTAGGTGGATTTCTGGCTTTTGTTTGTTTTTTTCCACAGCTCCATCAAAGAAGGGCTTTTGCACACACCCATCCTCAGTGGAAATACTACACTCACCCTGGCATTTGTCATGGAAAAGACCTCTCCCTTCCTATGAAAGGACACTTAAGCCTTCAGAGATATTAAAAGAAATTCTAGCCCGGCAGGCGTGGCTCAGTGGTTGAGCACTGACCTATGAACCAGGAGGTCACAGTTCGATCCCCGGTCAGGGCATATGCCTGGGTTGCAGGCTCGATCCCTAGTAGGGGGTGTGCAGGAGGCAGCCACTAAGTGATTCTCCCTCGTCATTGATGTTTCTATCTCTCTCTCTCCCTCTCCCTTCCTCTCTGAAATCAATAAAAATATATTTTTTAAAAAATTCTAGAAAAATGTATGAGATAAGCTTCTCTAAAACATAGTTCTGAAGGTCACATCCAAATGTCCAAGGTTACTCACATTCTCTGAAATGCATGCAGAGCCTAACACGGGGAACAGAGAAAAACACGTAGAACTTACTCTTTATTCATGCCTTCGAGCAGAACAGCGGAGACCCTCTTTAACCGGTCTGCCAGCTCAGGGAGGCCTTCTGTGATAGCACCCAACATATTGTTGGTAATGAGGGACAGGCAGGCAATAATTTTCAATTGATTCAGCTTTTCTGTCAGTTCCTGAAGACGTGCTTCATCTGTGATCAGTGTCTAGCATATTTATTTCAAATGGAAAAATAGAAAGGGAAGCTCAATACCACGAAAATGTAAAATAAGCAGTATCACATCCACACTCCCACTTTTATCTGATTTCAGCGAAGTCATTAAACCACCTGGCAACACAGACAGCCTAGCTGATTCATAGTTAGAACTTAAGAATGAAAATAATGGAAAACTTGAGGGAAGAAAAAAAATCACTCACCTCTGGAAATTCTTTTTTCTGATAATCCCACTGCAACAGTTTCAAATAACTGTTATTTAGCACCAGTGTAGGGCTCAGGTGTGGCTTGGAGCTGGTTCCGGCCGCAGGAGTTAAACCGGTCTCAGAAACAGAAAGTAATTCTTCATTTACAGATTCTTCTATCCACTTAGTAGTTTTATCAAGAGCACCTACAAGTGAAAAGGCCACACATTTGTCCTACAGCTGATGGATCGCTGCATTCGTGCATTCTTCAGACAGAGGCTGTGTTAGGTGCTGGGCCCTCAAGGAGCTTACAGTCCAGACGGGGAGACAGGCCTGCACACCAATGATTACAGCAGAATATAAAGACTAGAAGGCACAGTGGGAGTGGAGGGAGCAGAGGATGTCCAGAGCAGAGACGAAGAAAAAGAGCTGTGACACTGAAGACACACAGCAGACAGAGGAAAGCGCTGTCACCCCAGGCAGGGAGAACAGCCCATACAAAACCCGAAAAAGTGAGAGAATATGGCACCTTCTGGATGCTACAAGCAAATCTGTTATGGCTGGTTCATAAAGAACTAAGGGGAAGAGAGTGGTAGCGCATGGCACTGGATGAGGAGACATACCAGCTCACACACGACCTTGAGTTTTGTGCAGAGAAGGTGTTTAAAAGAAAAGCATTGATTATGAAACATGCTGGGGTCCTGGACACCTCTGAGTGTCTATGTAGAGCTGTCTTTCCCAAAATGCACATGCATGCTGGCGTGTACACTTTATTTTACTTCCACCCAGTACTAAGGTTCCCCACTGGAAACAAGTTGCTTTTTATATTCATTCATTTCTCTCTCTCTCTCTCTCTCTCTCTCTCTCTCTCTCTCTCTCTCTCTCTCTCTCTCTCTCTCTCTCTCTCGTTAATCTTTACTGTTGAAAGTACTATAGATGTCCCCTTTGTTTGTGGTTGTTTTTTCCATTGACCCCTTCCACCCTGTTCCAGCCCCTCCCAGGCCTTCACCATTCTATTGTATGTGTCCATGGGTTATGCATATATGCAAATAAGTTCCCCTGTTAATCACTCTCCTCCCACCCCACTTCCCTTCCCTCTGAAATTCATCAGTCTGTTCCATGCTTCTATGTCTCTGATCCTATTTTATTCATCAGTTTATTCTGTTCATTAGATTCCACATATGAGTGAGATCATGTGATACTTAATCTTTCTCTGACTGGCTTAGTTCGCTTAGCATAATACTCTCCAGGTCCATCCATGCTGTTGCAAATAGTAATTCTTTCTTGTTTATAGCTGTGTGGTATTCCATTGTGTAGATGTACCACAGCTTTTTTATCCACTCATCTGCTGATGGGCCTTCAGGCTGCTTCCAAATCTTAGCTATTGTAAATTGCACAGCTATGAACACAGGGGTGCATATATTCTTTCTGATTGATGTTTCTGATTTCTTAGGATATATTCCTAGAAGTGGGATCACTGGGTCAAATGGGAGATCCATTTTTTATTTTTTGAGGAAATTCCATACTGTTTTCCACAGTGGCTGCACCAGTCTGCATTCCCACCAGCAGTGTATGCGGGTTTCCTTTTCTTCACATCGTTGTTTCTTATAAAACTATGTATTTGGTAGAATTTATCAGGTGGCAATTGCTAAAAAAGTGTAGACTGAACACAAGTGCAGATTTTTAAAAAAGCCAGAGAACGAACTAAGGAATAGTCACCCTGAAATTCTTCCTCAGACCCAGCACATCAATAGGGGTAACTTAACAGCAGCTCTGTTTGCCACACGAAGGGAACACCACCCCCAGCATTTCAGAGTTTTGTTTCTCCTCAGTTGGCAAATGTTGTTCTTGTTTTTTCTAGTTCTGTTTATAATGATGCAAAGTACTTGCAGTCTTTTATTTAAAAGAATATCCAACAGAGAGTGTGTGCAGAAATCATCATGGATATGATTACAATGTGGCCATAATAAACATTTATACTGCAAGCGTAATCATTTACAGCTGACACATTTAAAAGGCCATTTAGTTAGTTCAAACAAAAGCAAGAGTGTAGCATAGTGGTTCTCAATCCTTGCTGATTTTAGAATCATCTGGGGAGCTTTATTTTTTTATTTTTTTTTTAAATGATCCTGGGCACAGCTCCTAGAGATCCTGATTTAATCAATCTGAGATGGGGCACAGCCATCTCTTTTCAAACACCCCGAGTGATCCTATTATGTAGCCAGCATTGAGTACTACTAGTAAAACAGAAAGAACACGAGTTTGGAGTGAAACATCGGGTTTTTTTTTAAGGGATCGGCTGAGACTGCACTTCATAACCTGGTACACTGACTGCTCTATGTGGCTCTAAAAGCAAGGTCAATTCCACGAGGCACCTGCACCCTAGGTCTTTCATGTGGACAGTAATAAAAGCCTCTCTATCCACTCATTTATTCAATGGTAACTGAGCACCTCTACAGGCCAGGTATCGCACTGGTGCTGGAGAATCAGAGATGAGTAAATACAGTCCCTGCATTCAAGAAGCGCCTATTCTACTCGGAGATAGAAACACAAGAGCAGGCAATGACTTTATAGGTGTGTTGTCCTAAGAATTTACCAGGAGCAGTGGGGGCCTAAGAGCACTTATCCATGATATTTGTTTTTTTATGCCTAGCAACACCTCATCTCCCTTCTTTTGGTACTTATTTTCCTTTGAGAAACCATTGTCTTTTGCTCCAGGCTTTCTTTTGTGACTATTAATTAAGAGGCCCTTGACCAGCAGTTGGACTAAGCCAGATGCCCGTCAGACTTTTACCTGGACTCTGAATGGTGACTATAGCATTCAAGGATGACCTGTTTTGAAGTACACATAAACCATTCTGACTATGGAGCCCAAGAGTCTTCCTTTGTTTTCTTTTCCAACCCAGATTCCTGACACACTCCTGGTTTCTGGCCTTGCTCAGGGTAGGTATTTTTATATTTTTATTTTTATTGATTTCAGAGAGGAAGGGAGAGGGAGAGAAATATCTATACAATAAAAGCCTAAGCAACTGTTATGGCAGAATGACCAGAACTACTGGTCGCTATGATGCACACTGACCACCAGGGGGCAGACGCTCAATGCAGCAGCTTTCCCCTGGTGGTCAGTGCGCTCCCACAGGGGGAGCACCACTCAGCCAGAAGCCAGGCTCATGGCTGGCGAGTGCAGCTGCCACGGCAGGAGCCTCTCCCGACTCCTCCACGGCAGCACTACTGAGCAGTGAGCAGCGGCAGCAGGTGCAGCAGGCCAGGATGAGAACCAGTGACGCTTGGCCCTGATTCAGGCTCATCCCTGGCCGCCTGCTGTTTGGAGCACTGCTACATCCCCCAAGGGGTCCCAGACTGCCAAAGGGATGTCCAACTGCCGGCTTCGGCCTGATCCCAGTGCCATTCCCTATAGAAGGCAGTCAGTCAGTCTGAACAACTCAGTGACTCAGGGAAGCACAGGGAACTAGGGTGAGCCTGCTTCTGCACTTGACTCACCCACTCGATGGTGCTCGCAGGACAGACCATAGTGGCCCAACCCGTGCATGTGCAGCAGCTGCTGAAGCTCAAGCAGCAGGCCGTGCAGTAGCAGAAGGCCATCCAGCCACAAGCCGGCAGGTGGACATCCCCCGAGGGGTACCAGACTGCGAGAGGGTGCAGGCCAGGCTGAGGGACCCCTCCCCGCCCCCACCCCAGTGCATGAATTTCATGCCCTGAGCCTCTAGTAGAAACATAAATGATGAAAGAGAATAATTGATCAGCTACCTCCTGCATGCCCCAGGGATTGAGCCTGCAACCCAGGCATGTGCCCTGACCAAGAATGGAACTGTGACCTCCTGGTTCATAGGTTGATGTTCAATCACTGAGCCACACCTGCCGGGCAAAGTAGGTATTTTAGCTTTAGCCTCCATCCTTCCATTCACTTCCTTTTTTTGTTAATTCAGCCAAAGTTGGTTTCTGCTGGATGCAATGTAACCCAGCTGATCTAACACAAAACTAAATAATCAAAGTTGCCAAAGCAGCAGCTTGGTTTAATCTTGGCTTGGCTTAATCTTGGCTTGGCTATGGGAGACCTGGCTTTGTGTACACACTACTTATTCGCTATGTGACTCTGGCTTTGGGCAGGTCATGGCTAAGCATCACTTTGCTCATTTTTAAAATAAATATATCCTGAAATCCCTGTATTCCAGGCAAAGACAATCACAATGCAGTATAATAAGGTATTTTAAAAAAATATCTGTCTCATAGAATTTTTTTAAAAAGCACTTGAAGTTCATGAGAACATTTTATCAAATGTAAAATATCTAAATAAGTAAAACCTTTTTCTTTCTGAGTATCTTAAAAATTACTTGTGGTATGGCCCCCTCTGGGGTAATTTATTACTCTTTCCACAGGTAATTTAGTTTTTGGATCTAATCTGGTTATCTTTTTGATGCTTAATACATGCACCCAATCATTGCCAAAGGCTTTCTTTGGTGTGTTTTATTTCATTTTTATCCTATCCCATTCTTTCCTTTATTTTAAATACCTTTACATACAATACATATATAATTGACATTCAATAAACTGCACATACTTAAAGTGCACAATTTTATGTTTTGATACATGTTTACATATACACAACCATGAACAATGAACATATGCATCACCCCCAAAAGATTCCTAGTGGTCTTTCTAATCATCACCACTTCTAATTCCCTCCCATCCACCCTCACCATCCCCAAACATACTGATCTGCTTTCTGTCAGATCAATTCGCTTTGTCTACAGTTTTATAAAAACAAAATCACATATGAACTATTTTTACAACATAGTGATTAGATATTTATATAACTTACGGACGTGATCATATGATAAATTTAGTGCCCATCTGACACCATACATACAGGGTGAGGCAAGAGAAAGATTACAGTTTGGGGTACATGAAACAGAGTTTATTCTTATATTATTATTTATTAATCATACTAGAGGCCCGGTGCACAAAAATTTGTGCCCGCGGGGGGAAAGGGGAGCCCCTCAGCCTGGCCTGTGCCCTCTCACAGTCTGGGACCCCTCGGGAGATAACGACCTGCTGGCTTAGGCCTGCTCTCGGGTGGCAGAGGGCAGGCCCTATCCCTAGGTGCAGCCCCTGGTTGGGCTCAGAGCAGGGCTGATTGGGGAGTTGGGGAGCCACCCCCAGTCAGGCACAGAGCAGGGCGGATCGG